CAATGCTACAAGAGCTCCTCATATTTCCTTTACTGTAGTTGTTAAGTGCTGTTGAGTCAAGCTTGAACCACCAATCTTGCAGTTCAAACTGACCTAGCAGTCCAGCACATTAACCCACAGTGCCACACCAGGACTCCTATATATCCTTGTTGTTGTTATGTGCCTTGGAGTCAGTTCCAAGTCATAGCGACCCTGTACAGGGTTTCCAAGGCTGCACATCTTTACGGGAGCAGAAAGCCTCATCTTTCTCCCATGGAACAGCTGTTCCAACTGCTGACCCTGAGGATAGCAGCCCGATTCGTAACCACTGTGCTACCAGAGCTCCTTAGAGCCTTTCATATTATGTAAGATTCTGTAAGTATGATTCTATATATTATAGGATGAATAGTTTGAAGTGGGGTTTCTGGATCATTGGCTGTGCCTTAATTAGCTAGTGCCACTGTAATACAAGTACCGTAGGTGGGTGGCTTTAAAAAGCAGAGACGTATTCTCATGTTTATGGTAGCCCTGGGTGTTCCTTGGTTCCTGGGCTGTCTGTCTTCCCTTAGTGTGATGCATGCCTGTGTCTGTTCTGCTCTTTCTAGAACTCAGAAAGGATTAGGTTTCCTATTGATCCTACACTGATAAGACCTCAAATGATAGACCGTTTACCTTATATTAAGACAACCAAATCCACTGTCAGAGTTGGTTCCAATTCATAGGGACCCTATGTAGGGTTTCTAAGGCTGTAAATCTTTATAGGAGCAGAAAGCCTCATCTTTCCTCCACAGAGCGGCTAGTGGATTTGAACTGCCAACCTGGCTCCCTCCTAGATAGCATTATTGTTGTCGCTGTTGTTAAATGCCATTGAGTCGGTTCTGACTCATAGCGACCCTATATAGGGTTTCTGAGGAGCAGCTGGTGAATTTGAATGGAAGGTGATTATATTACGTTGGTGTTGCTGTTATGTGCTGTTGAGTCAGTTCTGATTCATAATGATCCTATGAGTATAGGAGTTCCAAGCAGTGGTTGGTGACTTTGAACTGCTGACCTTGATGTTAGTGTTTGTTAAGTGCAATCACATCAGGTCTGACTCATAGTGACTCTGTATACGGGGATTATGAAGAGCAGTTGGTGGGTTTGAACTGCTGACCTGAGGTTTGAAGTCCAGTGCTTAACCTACGGTGCCACACCAGGACTTCAATTGAATCTACAGGAATGTTATTGTTGTAACTGAAGTAGACTGTGGCCTTACATATAACACAGTGACATATTGTCTGGTTCTGAGCCCTCTTCAGGATGGTTGGGATGAGTACATTGCATTTATTGTGTAAGTCCATCTCAAAGAGAGTTTCCTGCATTTTCGCTGACCGTCTACTTTACCAACCTTGGTGTCCCTTTATAACGATTTGGTCTTTCCTGATGTCTTCTTCCAGAGTAAGCAAACCAGAGTCTGGCTATCCTCACTTCTAAGGAGCATCCTGGTTGTTTTTCTTCTGAGAATGATTTGTTCATTCTTCTCACAATTCACAAGATATTCACTGTTCTTCACCATTATAACAGTTTGACTACATCATTCTTTTCTGTCTTTTTCATTGTCCAGTTTTCACATGCATATGAGGCAATTGGTCAAGCCATAGGTATAGGGGCTAGGATTCTAATACATATTTTAGGGGGACACAGTTCAACCCATAACAGGGGGTATACCTATGTAATTTTGATTGGTTTTTCCTTATTGTCCTCCCTAGACTATAAAAATTTACATTTCTATTGGCAACATTGGACCATGCCTACTTTTCCACATTGATTGCTAACACAATTTAATATAAGACTTCAAAAAAAAAAATTGCTGTAAAATATACTTAATGTAGAGTTTGCCATTTTCACCAATTTTGAGTGTGAAATTCAATGGTATTAAGCACACTCACAATGTTGTGTGACTGTCACTATTGTCTGTTTCCAGATCTTTTTTATCATCCCAAACAGAAACTCTGTGCTTACTAAATAACAACTCATTGTTACCCCATGGTGACCTTTCTTATACTTTTATTCTGTATATTCTAGCTACCTCGTATACAATATTTGTTCTTTTGTGTCTGACTTATTTCACTTAGCATGTCTTTAAGGTTCACTTATGTTGTAGTATGTATCAGAACCTCATTCCTTTTTATGGATTTTCTGTATACAAGATTGGAGTCAGGTATGGCACTGTAGGATAAACACTGGACTGCTAACCCCAAGGTTGGCAGTTCAAACTCACCAGCCACTCTTTGGAAACCTCATACAGTGTTGCTATGATCCAATGATACTTAACAACAACAACAAATATACAAGATTATGTCATCTTCCTTTGTAGTCTGGATGTTTTTTATTTCTGTTTCTTTCCTAGTTGCTCTGGCTGAAACCTCTAGTACAGAGTTGAATAGGAGCAGGGAGAGTGGGCATCCTTGTCTCATTCCTGACCTTATAAGGAAACCTTCCAGTCTTTCACTATTAAGTATGACGTTAGCTGTGAGGTTTTTTGGTACATGCCTTTATCAGCTTGGGAAAATGTCCTCCTAGTCCTACTTTTTCTTTGAGGAGTATTTTAGTATATTATCATGAGGAGGTGTTGGAGTTTGTATAGTGCATAATAGTCTACTGTATGTTTTTACCACATTTTGTTTATTCATCCATGTTTTAGCGGATACTTGAGTAGCATATGACTTTTTGATCTTTATCAATTAGAAAAAACATGGAGTGCTCTTATAGTTTTGTTTTGAAAACTTTCTTGTCTGGAGGTTACATTTTCATGTACTTGAGCATTTATATTTCTACCTCTTGTAAGTTGTCTCTTCATGTCCTTTATCCATTTTCTGTTGTGTTTGTTGTATCGATTTATAGGAACTTTATCTGTATTAGGGGAACTAATCCTTTTAAAATGATTTTTATTGAAGATTAATCCTTTATTTTTTTTTTCAACTTTTTATTGTGAGTTGAGTGAAGGTTTACAGAACATATCCTCAGTTTTGCATTCAACAAATCATATACTTTGCTTCATTACATGGTTGCAATCCCCCCATGTACCAACAGTTAATAGTATTTACCTCTATTCACTTTATCTGTTGCATTCCTCCCCATCTCCTGCTACCTTCATCTTTCCCCTCCTAACCTCCATCTTGTTGTATATTGCCTGCCCTGCCATGTTAACATGTGTCTGTTGTTGTGTGCTGTGGAGTCTGTTCCAACTCATAGCGACCCTGTACAGGGTTTCCAAGGCTGTAAATCTTTACGGGAGTAGAACGCCTCATCTTTCTCCCGCAGAACAGCTGGTAGTTTCGAACTGCTGACCTTGCGGATCACAGCCCGATTCGTAACCGAGAGGGGAAAAAAAACTCTTTGAATCAATTCCTACTTGGATGCAAAACCCGTGGTCTTTTGCTCAATCACTCTTTTTTTTTTTCTTGTAAGTTTTTATTGTGAATTGAGTGATAGCTTACTTGGGAGAATATCAGGTTTACATCCATCCTATCGTATATCATTTCGTTGTCATGATTATAGTCCTCTCCATACATCATCATTCAACATCCTTTACTTCCAATCGCTCTGTTTTTTTTGGATGTACCCTGGAGCACTCAGGAATATATAGCCCATTCAAACAATCAATGGGTATACCCTGCACACCAGCCCCCCGGCCGCCAGCACACAGCCCCTCTCACTCCCTGAGTCCAGAATCCTCAGCCACTCAATCTCTCTACATGTCATTGTCTCTGCCTTCATCTCTGGTGTTACTGCTTCTCTTCTCCTTTGATACTCCCAGAGTCCTCCACTCCTGGGCTGCAAGATCAACCACTCCCTTCCTTTTGATACAGAATGCCTACCTTTAACATTTGCAACATTCAAAATCAGCCTTGATAACATTTATTCACTATTGAACCACAAGAGAGAGTCTTATTCTCATCTTTTCTTTCACTAGTCCCATCTAGACAGGTTTGAAACCACTCAGTGGAGATTTTACCACCCCCAGCACCCTGTGAAACTAAGCTCTTTCTTAAAAACTTGCAAGTCAGTCATTTTGTGCCTTTGTTGTCCCCACCCCCCATTTTGGGTAATCCTTTATATAAATTGCTAGTATTTTCCCCATTTTGTCTTTTAAACAGTTACTTGTCTACTACTTGAATTTTCCTAGGTGCTGGAACTCTTAAAACAAATGACCCAAGGCTGGAGTTTTTGTTCTAATGAGGGCGATACTGTGTAGATAATCAAGATAATTTCCAATTATGACCCATATTAAGAAGGAAGTGAAACGGGGTATCATGATGATGAGAGGTGGGTGGTGGGATGGGGTTTGCTTATGTAGAAAGCCTAGTGGGAGCTTTTGATTACAGCCCTAAAAGACAAGATGGAGTAAGCCATTCAAGTAGTTGGCGGGAAAGAAAGTACAAAGGTCCTGAGGTAGGTGTGAGCCCAGCCTATTTGGAATTGATATCTAGTTGGCAGAGGGATAAGGGCATAAATTGTAATTGGAAAGGAGGCTGGGCTAGATCCTACATCTAGTAGGCCATGAGGAAGGGGAGTACAAATTTTATACTAAGTATGGTAGGAAACCTTTACTAGGTGTTAAGCAGGAAGTTCTGATATAAGTAATTTTATCAGTCATTAAAATTATTTGGGAACTTAAAAAAAAAACACACTTTAATTGTGAATTGAGTAAAGGTTTACAGAGCAGATCATCCGTTTTCCATTTAACACTTTGTACACATTTTGCTTCATTTCATTGATTGTAATCCCCTCAATGTAACATCACTTATCCCACTTATTCTGAGAAATCTTAATGGTGACTTACTGTCTCATGGTTATGTATTAAACCCACTGTTGGAAAATTTTATTTCCCTCCCTAATTTTGAATATTATAAAATCCTGCTAAATAAATCCGTAAATTTTGATTGTCTTCATAAACTCTTCCTACAAGTAGATTTGTAAGCATTTTTAGAAGGTGTTTGATACATGAAATTCAACTGGTGTGTGCTTTTGTGTTACAGAGTGTGTTAATGACAACTACTGGTTTGGGAGGGACAGAAGCTGTGAATATTGCTTTGATGAGCCACTACTGAAAAGAACTGACAAATACCGGACATACAGCAAGAAACACTTTCGGATTTTCAGGGTAGGTAACACATCAGTATTTTTGGGAGAGCTGGTAATCTAGTCTTCATTCTTAGATATTGGCATACTATAAATCGTTTTTGTTAAAACGTTGACAAAAAATGTTCTATGTTTTAGGAAATGGGTCCTAAAAATTCTTACATCGCATACATAGAAGATCACAGTGGCAATGGAACGTTTGTAAATAGAGAGCTTGTAGGGAAAGGAAGACGCCTGCCTTTGAATAACAATTCTGAAATTGCACTTTCAGTATGGAGTAATAAAGGTAATATTGCGATGCTCTGGAGACTGAATTTTCCTCCTATGTAAAAGGAAGATTAACATATGTGTCTTTGCAGATTATGGCATTATTGTTGTTGCTGTTAAGTGCCGTGGAGTCGGTTCCAACTCATAGTGACCCTGCACATAGCACTATTATTAGAGTTCAAATGGAGTCCTGGCGTGTCACTGTAGGATAAGCACTAAACTGTAAGCTTGGCGATTCAAACTCACCAGCTACTCCTCCGAAATGCTATGAATTAGAAAAGACTTAATGGCACTTAACAACAACAGTGACATTAATGACTTTAAGGAGTCCTGGTGTGGTACTATAGGGTAAACACTTGACTGCTAACCACAAGGTCAGTGGTTCAAATCCACCAGCGGCTCCTCAGAAACCCTATACAGGTTTGCTATGATTCGGAACTAACTTGACGGGATTTAACAAATAGCAGCTGGTTATTACCCTGTCCAAATGGAGAGATTTCCTGTCATCATCAGGTATCATATTGTAAGCTTCTACTCCTCAAACTACGAATCTCACATTGAAAATGAACATTTTGCCATTCGAATAGTCTAGAAAGGAATAACTGGACAAAAGCAATCTAGAGAATTAACAGGAACTCATGTTGTGTTTGCTAAGTGTCATCAGTACAACAGAACAAAACACTGCCTGGTCCAGTGCTGTCCTCACAATTGTTGTTATATTTGAACCCCTTGTTGCAGCCACTGTGTCAGTATATCTCACAGAGGCTCTTCCTGTTTTTCATTGACCATTTACCAAGCATGATGCCTTTTGTCAGAGACTGACTGATAACTCGTTCAGCCTTCTAAGTAGCATTCTGAGTATACTTCTGTCAAGACAAATTTGTTCGTTCTTCTGACAATCCATGATACATTTAATATTTTTCACCCACATTGTAGTTCAAAAGTATAAAATATTCTTCAGTCCGCCTTATTCATTATGCAGCTTTTGTGTATAGATGAGACAATTGAAAATATCATGGCTTGGGTCTGGCACGCTTTAATCTTCAAAGCTACACCTTTGATTTTTAACACTTTAAAGAGATCCTGGCAACAGATTTGCCCAATGCAATACACTATTTGATTTCTTTGTTATTTGTTCAGCATAAAGATTGAATAAGTATGGTGAAAGGCTATAACCTTGGTGCACACCTTCCATTTTAAACCATTCATCATTCCCTTGTTTTGTTCCAACAACTACCACTTGGTCTGTGTACAGGTTCCTCACAAGCACAATTAAGTGTTCTGGAATACTCATTCTTCACAATGCTGTCCATAGTTTGTCATGATCCACACAATTGAAAGCCTTTGCATAGTCACTAAAGCACAGGTAAACATCTTTCTGGTATTCTTTGCTTTCAGCCAAGATCCATCTAACATCAGCAATGATATTCCTTATTCCATGTCCTCTTCTGAATCCAGCTTGAACCTCTGGAAGTTCCCTGTCAGTGTACTGTTGCAGCTGTTTTTGAATTATCTTTAGCAATTTTACTTGCATGCAATATTAATGATATTGTCCAATGATTTCTGTATTCCATTGAGCCACCTCTCTTTGGAATGGGTATAGATATTCTGGTCAGTTGGGCAGGTAGCTGTCTTCTAAATTTCTTGGTGTAGATGGGTTAGAGCCTCCAGTGGTTCACCAGTTTGTTGAAAGATTTCAATTTGTATTCAATCAATTTGTGGAGATTTGTTCTTTGCCAGTGGCTTCAGTGCATCTTAGACTTCTTCCTTCAGTACGCCTCTTGATAATATGTGAATATTTGAATTGGTTAAACATCGACCATTTCTTTTTGGTATGGTGACGTGTTTATATTCCTTCCACCTTTTTTTTTTTTTTGTCAGCAAAGCAATAGGAGTTTAATCAAATTCTTAAAAGTTTAGATTTACCATATTCTGTGTTGAGGCCCCATAATTTCACTTTATTAGCTTCATTCTGGGCTTTTTTCTTTAACGGACAAGCCCAGTAATCCAGCTTATTTTTTTCCTTCCTTGACCTTGGCTGGGCTGTTAAGGGAAGCTCACTGACTGGAGTCAAATCACTAATCACCTTATTGAATTTCTGCAGCTCATTGCCTATCTGAAACAGTTTTTTAGGATCTGGAGTCAGATCTTCAACATCAGTTCTCCGTAACTTTTTTACTGCATATTTTCCTGCCAGCAATTCTCTCTTACCATGATGCAAGCCGTTTTTCTGACATATATTACTTGGTAAGGTCTCTTGATTCCATTCAGATGGCCTCAGCATCCTGTCTTGCTGTGATGGTGTAAGCTGCTCACTATGCTCCCAGAAGTACCTTCTTTTACCTCTCTTCCGAGATGATAATTGAAGTCATCTCCTTTAAGTCTTTCACAGAATCATTTTCATAGCCTGGTTCAGAGAATGTGTCACTAATATCATCATCTTTATCATCTTCATAATGCTCTTCCTTCTCATTTTCAGAGAATTCATGCTCACTGCCAAACCCTTCATCATGGTCCTCATCGTCAGCATCCTCCTCATCATCTTCAAGGCTGCATTTGGTTGGTTGTTCACCCAAGTTGTCGGAGACAAAAAGAGAATAATTGTGCTTTTCCTTTTTCTGGGATGAATCTGAGACCCATGTGCTGGCAGAGAGGCTGTTACTCTCTCCTGCAGCAGTTGGCCCAGGGCCATCCTGGGGCAGGGGGCTGAGTAATAGTTCCTGGGTTTCTTTGAAAGGCAAAGTGGGAGTGGTATGAACCTGCAGAGGGTCCATGCCTTTTTTCTCTTGCCTCTTTGCTATGGCACCACAGTAGCAGGTGTTCTCCTTTGCGGCATTGGCTGTGGCTGTGTGAACCTGACTCAACAAGGGCTGGGTCTGCTGTACTGGGTTAATCTTTTGCCTTTTTTACATAGTCCTTACATTCAACATGAAAGTTCACCTTTTCATTATGACACATGTTGGTCTTCACCATGATTTGTGTGCTTGAAGTGGGTTTACTTGCTTTTTCGACACAGTCTGACAAAGGGACTTCAGCCTGAAGAGTCTTAGAAGAACACACAGGGGCCGCTGCTCTGCTTGTGATCTTTTTACCAGGAAATGAAGAGGGCAAGGGACTTTGCTTGACACTGAAAAGTGAATCAGGGTAATAAAGGGAATCAGAAATAGACTGAGAGTCCTCACTATTAAGTTGAGCCAAAGTTGGAGTTTTACTGATGACTTATTCATCTTGGTAAGGGCTAGAAAAAATCATCAAGACCCAATTAATCCACTTCTTTTGTTCCCCAGATGTCACAGCTGGTTAGTTTGATATACTTGGTTAAGTCTTCACAGTAAGTATCCCATTGTTCCCAGTTTGAGGTTAAAGCACCCTCATTATCCAGGACATCTGTGAATGACTGTAAATTTTCAATGTCTTTTTAGTCCTCCAGAGAAAGAAAACTGTCTCGAGGATTCTGTTGGTAGTTCATTTCTCTACCTAGTTCATACATGAAATCTGGATCTGAACTGTTTGCTAAGAGATCTGTGCTCATCAGAGTCTGTTCAGAAAAGGTGGGGCTTTGAAAGACATCTCCAAAAGGTGGATCCATTCCACTTACAGTAGGCTAAGGCATATCCAAGCCCAGATCCTTTGAGTCCGATTCCAAACGTCTTTTTCTTCTTGTTTGTAAGTTCCTTTCCAGCTTTAGTTTTAACTTCAGGATCAAGGATGATTGATTTTCACAATAAATGTTAGATTTCTCCAGAATACCGTGAATTCAACTGCTTGTATCTCTGCTTCTTTAGTAATTCTGTGTGAACCTTTGGGCGTGCAGGCACCTCATGAGTTGGGTGTGGTTCCGCTGCAGGGGACTCAGCCCCTCTCCATGCTCCCTCGAGTTTGTTTTATTTATCCTTCCACCTTTTTTTGATGCTTTCTGCATCATTACATATTTTAACCATAGAATCCTTCAATATTTCAAGTCAAGACTTGAATTTTTCCTCCAATTCTTTTGGCTTGAGAAAATGCTGAGTGTGTTCTTTCCTTTTGGTTTTCTAACTCCAGATCTTTGCATATTTCATTATATATTTGACTTTGTCTTCTTGAGCTGCTCTTTGAAATTTTCTATTTAGCTCTTTTACCTCGTCATTTCTTTCATTTGCGTTAGCATTTATACGCTGGAGAGCAAGTTTCAGAGTCTCTTCTGACATCCATTTTGGTCTTTTCCTTCGTGTCCTTAGTGTCTTAACATATTTTCTGATTGGTAATTATAGTCAAGGTGGCATTCATCACTATTTGTGAGCAAGGGGGAAGCTGGGTATTGAAGTTTGGCATGCCTTCCACTTGACAAACCATGTGTCAACTTTTCCTAATTGGTTTGTCATCAATACCTAGTTTCAACTCAACGACCCCATATAGGGTTTCCAAGGCTGCAAATCTTTACAACAGAAGACAGCCTTATTTTTCTCTGAGAAGCAGCTGGTGGACTTGAACTGCTGACCTTTTAGTTTGCAGCCCAGTTTTTATCCTATAATGCCACCAGAGCTCTAGTTTGTTCATACAGGAACAACTTTTTCTCACTGATCTTCCTAAGAACACCTTCTAAAACGTGGCTCCAGGCTTCATATAGGCTAAATGGGTTCTGATGAAGGTAAACCCAATTGGGACTCTGTGGACTTCATTCAACCTTCTGGAATTTTATTGGCATTTTCTGATACCTGTAACTTTATCTTAGAAATCCAGATGTTTTTTAGAAGTTGGTATAGCTACACAGACCTGACAGTCCCACATTTCTGGGATCTGCAGGTGCTGGGTGGAGGGGAGTACTTCCGTTAGGTGGGAGGTATGTTTTCTTGTGTAAGTCTCCACAGATCCATGTAGTATACATTAAAGCTTGCCTCACTCATGTAAATGACCTTTCTGGCTTGTGTGACTGATTCTATTTGCAGTCCTTCAAACAGACCCTGACATCAGGGAGTGGTATATCTCCACAGTCCATCACATGTCCAGATTCTTGGGTGTTACTGGAACAAAAAGCTTTATACATGTCCACTAACATGGAACAGTTAGATCCTGGGAGGCCAGCAGGTCTCACTCTCTGGGCAAGGGTCTACCTCCTGTGTTCCCGCCTGGAATAAAGCATGTTCATCTGGCTCAGGTTTGTGCTTGTGACCAAATCCTTTAGTCACCCTAAAACCTTAGAAATACTGATTGCCATTGAGTTGTTACCAACTTATAGAGACCCTGTGTTGGGTTTCTGAGACTGTAAATCTTTATGGAAGCAGAAATCCTCATCTTTCTTCCTTAGAGTGGCTGGCAGACTTGAACTGCCAACCTTGCAGTTAGCAGTTTAGTGCTTATCCTGAAGTGCCACCAGGGCTCCAAAGATATACTCAAATCACATGAAATCTGACAGGCTCAAAGGTCTTAATAAATCTTGCTCTTCTATAGTTATTATGTTGTTGTTAGGTGGTTTCTAGTTGACTCCAACTCATAATGTCCCTACACACAACAGAATGAATCACTGCCTGATCCTGTGCCCTCCTCACAATTGTTGTTACATTTGAGCCCCTTGTTGGAGCCAGTGTGTCAGTTCATCTCTACTGGGGCCTAACTCTTTTTGTTGCTCATGATCTCCTTTACTTATTTGTTGTTAAGTACTGTCAAGCTGGTTCCAACTCACAGCGACCTTGTATAGGGTTTTCTGGGAGTGACTGGTGAGTTTTAAATGCCAACTTTGGGGTTCAAACCAACCTTGTATCAAATGCATTTACAGCATCACACCAGGACTCCATAGGTCATCTCAAATTTACTGTAGATGACTTAGTGGAATTGAAATGTTTGGTAACTGATTACCGATTCACCCAGATGCTGGTTAAATTATGAAATGATTTTTTTGCGATACAGACCAAATAGTTCAGAAATGGAAGGAATTTGTTTGGAAAAGATTGTTTATCCAGCTTTACAAATAGTTTCAAGATTGTTTGTACTATGAAATACCAGTATGTATAGGTATTTGTTGTTGGTACGTGCTGTTAAGTCAGTTCCTATGCACAACCAAATAAAATACTGCCCACTCCTATCCTCATATTATTGTGTGTTTGACCTTTTTGTGTCAATCCATCTCATTGAGGGTTGTCTTCTTTTCACTAACCTTCCACTTTACCAAGCTTCTACAGGAACTGGTTCTTCCTAACTTGTCCAAAGCATAGGAGAGATGAAGTCTCACCCTCCTTTCATAAGGAACATTCTGATTATACTTCTTCCAACATAGATCTGTTGTTCTTCTGGAAGCCCATGGTACTGTCATTATTCCTCGCCAACACCATTATTCAAATGTATCGATTCTTCTCTGGTCTTAGAGAAGGTAATACAGTGAAACCTGTGAGTGTCAGAACATGATGGACTGCCTTGTTTTTTTCTGCATCTTTCCAGTTTTCCTCTTTTGACACTTTTCTTTACTGCTTGTTTTAGTAGAAAATATTTCAGTTTTCCTTCTTGGATAAGGATTCTGCCTTGTGCACATGTTCCAGTTTTCACAGGTTTTTCTGTGTTAGTATGATGACATGTGTTCTAATTTTTTTGAGATGGGTGCACTCACAAATCTTTACTTCTTGGAGCAGACAAATTGCTTTCTAGTTCCAGGTCTGGGTTGATCTGCATGAATATTTCAGATTAATGCAGTTGGTTAATCAATAAAAGTTATAGGTTCCTACATTGTCGTATACTTCTATTGAGGGGTAAAATTTGGCATTGGAAATCTGATCATTTCACAAGCGTTTGACAATATGTGCCAGCCTCACTAAATAATTCCTTTAGGGTGATGTATTACATGCTATTTTAAATAATCATTTTATATTGCATACATTTATAGAATTCTAGAATCAGTTATCTTTTTCTTAAATGAATTAATGAGACTGGTTTCTGCTTTTTTCTCCTTAGTCTTTGTATTTTTTGATCTGACTGTAGATGATCAGACAGTTTATCCTAAGGAATTAAGAGATGAATACATCATGTCAAAAACACTTGGAAGGTAAGTTTTATTTTTAAATCAAAATTGCATTTTGTTTTATTTTGCGAAATGTTTGTCTGCAGGTTAAGCTTTATTGAGATAATAATTTATATACCATGTAATTCCCCATTTAAGCTATTAAATGGTGTTAGTTGGTTAGTTAAGTTGGTTCTGACTCATAGTGACACTGTATAGGGTTTCTGACGCTGTAAATCTTGGAGATAGCAGAAAGTCTGATCTTTTTCCCATGGAGGAATTGGTGGGCTCAAACCACCAACCTGTGGTTCTCAGTACTGTGCTTATCCTACAGAGCCACATTGGTCTCCTCTTCATTGAAGTAGAAGTTATTAATACTTTATTGTTGGTATTATGTTTCTGTACAGTACCACATCACTAGTGCAATATCAACAATAAAGTATTAATAACTTCTACTTCAATGAAGAGGGGACCAGTGCGGTTCTGTAGGATAAGCACTGGACTGCAAGGATGGTTTGAACTGTAAGGTTGGCTGTTCAAATTCCCCAACCACTCCTTGGAAACCCTATGCAGGGTCACTATGAGTTGGAACCGACTTGATGGCACTTAACAACAACAACAACAAAGTGGAGCAGTGGGTTAAGCATTAAGCTGCTAACCACATAGTTGGTGGTACAAACCCTCCAGTCAATCCACAGGAGAAAGAGGAAGAATATTTGTTCCTATAAAGGTTTATTCTCAGAAATCCCATAGAGCAGCCCTACTCTGTCCTGTACGGTTACTATGAAACAGAATTGAGTCGATGGCAGTGGGTTTTTAATATATATGTGTGTGTATGTATATATATAATGGACTCTTGTTATGGTTCTGTAGGATAAGCATTAGATTGCTAACTACAAGGTCAGTGGTTCAAACCCACCAGCTGCTCCTCGGAAACCCTGCATGCTGTTG